CACCTTCCTTGGCTAGCATAATCACCGGGGATCTAACTCACCTTCCTTGGCTAGCATAATCACCGGGGATCTAACTCACCTTCCTTGGCTAGCATAATCACCAGGGATCTAACTCACCTTTCTTGGCTAGCATAATCACCGAGGATCTAACTCACCTTCCTTGGCTAACATAATCACCTGGGATCGAAATCCACTTGAACATCTTTGGAATATACTTAGAAGTTGCAATCGCCATGACAGAATATTTCTCTATGAACCAACTAGAGTCCATACTCTTCGGCGAGTGAGTGCATCGTACAAGACACCTTTGTGGAGTTTTATATGCCGTTCAGAGTCCAGGTTATCATAGTTCCGTATTAGATGCAGGACCTAATCAAGTGACCAGTCAGCGTTAGAGTAAACTCGTCATAATTCTCTAAACTGGGTCATTTATCTTACAGTTGCTGTCAGAAACACGTAGTTACAATAAAATGTCCTCACCAGCTAGAAGACATTGTACTTTAACGTAAACTCTTGGAAAAAAGGAAAAACATTGCTCCCCTCCCCTCTCCCTTTCGCCCCGAACAAACATTAACGTTGACTTTTCTACAGAGCCACTAAGGAAAATCTTTGTTTTTATTCATTCAAGTCCCGCATCTAATAAACCCACCCACTTTTTTGATGCTCCACTATCAAGATGTATTGGAATATATAAATTTAAAGAAAGAAACCCTCTGCAGTTAGTTGTAAACAGAGACAATTTATTACAACGCTCATATATATTGACAGATCATATATGAAATGATACGGAACATATTAGGCAGTTTGAGTCCTCCTGTTATAAATACATAGAAACGGATACCCGATTAGCTGATGAATTGGGTATACATAGAGCGATCGAAATATGTACCAAGCTAGTTAAACAAATACATCAACAAATTTTATAGTAAACACCAAATATAAATCGTAGTATACTGGAACAGACTCAGTTGTGTAGATTGTTTTTGTCTTGTTTTGAATTTCGCGCAAAACTACACGAGGGTTATCTGCGCTAGCCGTCCCTAATTTAGCAGTGTAAG